TCTGAGATACAGCTGCTAAAAATTTTTCCCCAGTCCCTTACCTATTTTTCAAATGAATTATTTCCCTTATTTTATTCTTTTTTTTTTTTTTAGTGTCAGGGATTGAATTTGGGTCCTTGCGCTTGCGCAGCAGGTGGCAAAACCACTGAGCTAAATCCCCGGCCCCTCCTTATTTTATTCTTGAAATAAGATGAAAGTTAAGAAAAATATCCTATTCTTTTCATTTTGCAGGAACTGTTTCCTACAAGCAATAGCAATGTGGTTGTATCTCTTACACGCCTCTTTGAAGTACTGCTCTGTAATGTGGTAGAAAATGATCCTACTAGCAAGCACATTCGTGTTTGGATTATGGTTAGTTTTACACCTAATGTGGGTTTAAAATACAGAATAAAATACACTTTTCAAAAATAATATTTGTATTCAGAAAGATGTTTACAACACCCAGAGAAGTTTTTTGGTGATCACTGAAAGAATAGCTGAAGACACTTTGGTCTGACCTGGTATTCTGATGCTAAAAAAATACTTTAAAGAAAGTAAAATATGTCAGATGAACCAAAACTACCTTTTTACGTATAAAAGATCATAATGTAAACACTTAAAGTGGTTTGATAATAATCCCATTTTGATTTTAGGTGAATTGATTTTGTCTTAATGTTAAGCCAGAATTTGGCAGCGTTAAAACTAGCTGTGCAAACAGCTAGGTAGAATGTTGGAAGCAGAATCCTTGGAGAGGTCAGTAGTCCTGATTAGCTAAAGTCTGGAGGTAAAGAAAACCAGAGACTATGGTAATAGTGAGCAGCAATTATCAAAGGGGGCCAAAGGAAAGTTTTTTTGTTTTTGTTTTGGGTCCTTTTTCTTTGTGTCTCTTTCCCATCTGCCTCCTTATTCTTAATGCCTTGAAGTTTTCTACCCTCCTTGTCTCTTGTACTCTATGGCACCAGCAGTTCTCTTTCAGTATTTTCACTTCACCTTGTTGCCACAGAACATCTTTTACCTCAGACATCTCATTGTACCTTGCTAACCATAACTTCTTCTTTTACACCTCCCTTTACCTTCCTCTACTTTAGAGGAAATTGAACAGACATTTTTTAAGTATAACCATTTTTTCTTCCCTAGGTTTGGAACTGTCTTTCACAGACAGCTCTAAATATTCTTCCATACTTAACTATCATTACTTTTACAAAATAAAAAAAATCCCAGGAAAATATATAAATATAGTGCCTGAAAAATTTTGCTTTTTTGGCAAACTCAAACTCCCAATCTTTAAAATAGTTGAAAATCACTTTTAAAGACTTACATAGGATGAAAATTTTCTCTTAAAATACATTTGATTTATTTTTTCAGTTAGATAATTTCAGCTAGATGGAGTAAAATTCCAAAGTCAAAAGTTTTTCATCCATACCAGTCCCCCTGTCATTCTTAAGGCAGTTGTTACCAGGGCCCCATGTAGCCTACTAGAAGTATTTTACTCTTTTTCAAACTCAGGACCTTGTGCTTGCAAGGCGGGTTTAGAGCCACTGAGCTAAATCCCCAGCCCACATATTCTGTTTTATATATATACATTTTTATACATCTTAACATACTATATGTACTAACTTGCATTCTTACTTACAATATCTTTTGGAGATTGTTCCATATCAGTACTTATAGAGTTACCTTGTTTTTTTTTGTTTTTTGTTTTTTTGGTACCGGGGATCAAACTCGGGTCCTTGAGCTTGCGCAGCAGGTGGCGAAACCACTGAGCTAAATCCCCAGCCCTACCTTGTTTTACAGCAGCTGCGTGTCAGTGTGTATAGCATAATCTAAGTGAGTAAAACCCCTGTTGAAGAACATTTGGGTTTCTTCTGACCTTTGAGTATTACAAAGAATGCTTCAGTGAATATTCTTGTACATTTATCGTTTTCACAGGCAGGAATATAAATGAGGATAAACTAAAATAAATATTTTTAGGTCATTTGTTATACGGACATTTAAAAATTTGAAAGATATTGCCAGGAAAGTGACTCTTTAAATTAATAGGCCCTACTATGTTAAGTTGTAGTTAAAATATTCTTTACATTTCATTAAAAATGCTTAACCATAAATTAATTTTTTTCTACCAACAGGCTTGCTTTATATTCTCTTTAATTTGGTCCATTGGAGGAAGTTGTGATACAGATGGTCGTCTTTGTTTTGATACTTTCATACGATTAATCATAATGGGGAAAAATGAAGAAAACCCAGTACCAGCCTGTGTGGGTAAATGGGAATGCCAATTTGATGAAAAAGGCCTGGTCTATGACTACATGTATGAGGTATGATATAAGATGCTTGTTATAACAAGATGTTTTGATTCTTGAGTTGTGCTTTTCAGTCCATTCTTCATATTTCTCCTCTATAACTTGTGGCAGCATAGATACACTTTAATAATATTTCTATTTTTTTACTTTATAAAGGAATTCATAAAGGATTCTTTTAACCAATAAGTATTTAATTAATCATTTTATTATACAAATTTTATTTCACAACCTCTAAGATCTGAATAGAATCTTAGTTATAATTTTGCCTGCGTTATAGAAACAGAAAGGTGAGTAGCTAGCAGAGCCAGGACTTGAGCTCAGTTCTGCTGACCAAACAGTTCAGGACTCTTTACCCCAAACCATGCTAATACAGAACTTTAAGAATATGACTAATAAGAGAATTTCATCTCCATTCATCATAGTAAAGTCAATAAAGTTATCTCTAAAATTAAAAAATCAAGAGGTGAAAACACAAGCATATTCTTTAAGAATTGAAGGTAAGTACCAAAATACACAGCTTAAAGAGGTAAAGGTAGTTGCCATTAAGGAGGAGAAAATGGGAGTGTGGAATTGCTGTTTTTCTTAATCTTGTAATACTTTTGACTCTAAAATATGTGTTTGTATAACTTTGACAAAAATAAAACTAAAACTTAAAAAATATGCAGTAATAAAGACATTTTTACCTAAACTTGCAAATCACCACCATTCAAAAACATGCCATAGGGCCGGGGATTTAGTTCAGTGGTTCCGCTGCCTGCCTCGCAAGCACAAGGACCCAAATTCGATCCCCGGTACAAAACAAAAAACAAAAAACATGCCATAGACATATAGGAATTTCTAGAAAATAGGAAAAGATTCTTAGAGCTATCCATAGCCCTGAAACAAGGTCATAGACTTTTATTACCTTGCCATATATTTACACTTTTATTGCTTGGTAATGGGAGGCCTGGAATCTCCAGGGACAGAGAAGGATGAATGAATGAATGATCTGTAGAAGAATATAATGGTTGGGGTGATGCAGACCAGAAAGCAGTCAAGGTGTGTCAAGACAGCAGTTCATTTCAGCCAGTGATTTGGAAGAATTTCAGTATTATACCACTTAGCATAGTCATGATAATATGTCCTGGATGAATATCAGCCTGGATCAAAATACCAGAGGATAATTTCAGAGAAAAATGTAGAGAGAGTTCATGTGATAATTTGTTTTTAGCTAGATTACTATTTACTGTAAATTATGAAAAACATGAAACCAAAATCCAGTAAATTATAACAAAATACATTACAGTGGATTTTAAGTAAATACTTGATATATATAAAAGGACATCTAGAAGGCATTTTGGGAAGATTAGAATGTACAGAGGACATATAGGCAAACATATCTGAGATTCTAGGTATGTTGAATTTGTGATAAAATGTCATTAAAATTTTCAGATTTTCATTTACAAAGGAAAATCCAAAAAAATATGTATTTCTTAAATTGGGTGGTAGATTCATAGATGTTAACCTTATTAATTTGCTTTGTGACTTAAAGATATCACATTCTTTTATATGAATTAATATTTCATTGTAAAAAGATGAAAAGACTGAATGTTTTAAAAGGAAACAATGTAAGTATAAAAAAAACCTTTAAGATATAGCAAGTATGTGGTTATAACACTTTCATATTCTCTTGTAGTTGAAAAACCGAGGTCGCTGGCTCCATTGGAATGAGTTAATTAAAAGTACTAATTTAGAAGATAAACATGTCAATAGCCAAGATATCATAGTTCCTACAATGGATACAATTAGATATACATTCCTTATGGATTTGAATATTACCTCTACAAAGTAAGGAACTCTGCTATAAACATGGATTTTGAGTGTAATGGTGCCATTCTAATAGGATTATAGAATTTTTAAGGTTAACTTTGAGGTCATCCAGTAAATGAGACCCAGGGAGACTGACTAATGTCCAAGGTGACATGCATTGTTAATGATAAACCTAGAATCTAGGTTTCCTCTTACCTACCCCAAAGCTCTTGCCATTATACTTTGTAGCCTTGCAAGTCACCTCATAACAGCAGAGAAAAAGTCAGTTGCAGTGTTATGGTTAAAAACTATTCATTCTAGCCGGGGATTTAGTTCATTGGTGCTGCTGCCTGCCTCACAAGCGCAAGGCCCTGAGTTTGATCCCCGGTACCAAAACAAAAAACAACACAAAAAACCCCTATTCATTTTATTTAAAGGTTAAGTGTATTCCTAAGATATCAAACTGACAATGACCCACATTCTCCCATTATTCTTAGCATTTTAAAAAATATGTTTTATGACAATTCTGGATTCCATAACTTAGATAAGAGTCAGTTTTAAAACATTTTTATAGTTATTTGTCTTTTAAAAATTAGGTTTAATTTATCTTAACACATTAAACTATAAAAGTTTACATAATATTTATAAATGTCTTTTTTTCAAATCCAAACTTGTTTCTGAGAGCATTTTGTGGCACTATTATCTTGTTTTAAAAAACAAGCAAATAGCTTATGAGAAAAATTATTTCATCCCTATTTTGCATCTCTAGATACACTGTTTTAATTTAGAGGCTAATATTAAAAACTCTCTTGCCAGGCACAGTAGTGAACACATGTAATCCCAACTACTTGGGAGGCTGAGACAGGAAGATCACACCAACCTGTGTAACATAGTGAGACACTGTCTCAATCAACCAATCAATCAGTCAATCAACAAATATATAAATCTTTCTTGGGAAGACTAGGCAGTTGCCAATTCTGCGAAATTCCTAGTGTAAGAGTTCTTTTGTTCTAAAAGTCATTCACCAGAATAATACCTTTAAATGAATAAGTACAAATATATAATTGCAAAGATAACCACTTACATTAAGATACATTTATGAAAATATTGACATATTTAAGTTATAATAGTAATGTGTGCTTCTTTATTAATCACATTAATAAGATCTAGCAGTGGGTATGATGACTATAATTATTTTAAGAAAGTAATGAACATGAGTGATATTTTTGAGATATTATAAAATTGTGATTACAAGTGCTACATTTTATTTAGAGAATAATGAAGGTATAATCATTTCATTACCCAAGATCATAGATTCTCTGAATTCTAAGAATTTCTTCAGTTGGCTTGTAGACCCCTAGAACAGTATTTTGATAATTAAAGTTATTTTAACAAATAACTTTCTGCAAAGTGAGTGTTAGGCTGGAACATATAGGTGAATTCTTGGGGATCATTCTAGCTCTAAAAGAACTTAATGGGTTGGGGATTTAGCTCAGTGGTTCTGCTGCCTGCTTTGCAAGTGCAAAGTCCCGAGTTCGATCCCCGGTACAAAAAAAAATACATAAAAATTTAAAAAATAAAAGAACTTAATTTAGCATTTATACTTTGGTGATAATCTAAAAAATGTATATCAGCATAATTTGGCTCACTTAGGTAACATTGTACAATGGAATACTGCTCTTCAGTTTTAGTGCCAACTGTCATGTTTGTTTTTATGTATTGTGTACTGACAAGTTACAGTCAAAATGAAAATATTTAATCATTAATGTTTAAAACTTGGATTTTGAAACTTGGATTCCTTAGAGTTTTGTGCACGTAAACTCCTATGATTTTCCCCCCTTAAAATTAGTAGATTTTAACCAAGAATGGGAAACCACGCTTGAGGCTCCATTGAGTAAAGAATTTCTTAGAGTTTGCTTTTAAACAAAATATTTTCAGTTAGTAACTGAATTGATTTAAAATGCTATTAAATTTATTAATTGTTAGCTTTAGAATTCACTGTCATTCCAATCTCACAAAAATTTAATGCTATTAAGTTAACTGTGAAACATCCTAAATTTACCTTATTGCTTTCACCTTAAAATTTTTCCATTTCATATTATTCTGTAACCTAAATAAAAAGTACAAATAAATATTTTTCATAGGAGACAAATTTTGACTTTTTAAAAAAGCTAAGCATATAACTTGTTTTATTAGTGTATTTCAATGTTAATATTTTCAAAAGAATAATTTTTTTTTTTTTTTTTTTGGAACCGGGGATCAAACTCAGGTCCTTGCGCTTGTGCAGCAGGCGACGAAACCACTGAGCTAAATCCCCGGCCCCAAAAGAATAATTTATTATTATTAAAGCTGCAACATTAGGCAAAAATATGTACGTCATTATTTTTACAAGTCTTTCATAAAATAACAACTATAGGTAAATATGAGAATTTCTATACAAAGATGATTTTATTACTTGTTTTCAAGTAATCCTAAATTCCTTTGGTAAAAGTGTATTCTGATTTTGAATAACATGCTCGTTTTGAATATCATGTTTCATTTTGAATAACATACTCATTGTTTTCATAAAGGCCACTGCTCTTTGTGGGTCCAACGGGTACAGGAAAATCAGTGTATGTGAAGGATAAGCTAATGAATCACTTGGAAAAGGATCGGTACTTTCCTTTTTATATTAATTTCTCTGCACGGACCAGTGCCAATCAGGTTCAGGTTAGTTGAAAGCCGGAAACATGAGTCTGTAATTATTAACTTGTTTCTTTACATGGTAAATGTTTAAAATTGTGTATTAAATGACCAATTTTGTATATCTGTGAATTTAAGACAGTGTTTTTACACTAATAGTGGATTATTGAGCTCTGTCACTTTTTTCCTGAGATGGAGCAATGCTTAGTTTCTTGACTGGAGAAGAGAGCCTAAAAGAAACATACACACACATACACACACACACACACACCTACAGTGGAGGGGCTGAAGATGAGAAAACTTTCATTTGTCCTTTCTAGTCTGCTGTATGATCTTTAGGAGCATCTGCTACTCACTGGATACCAGGAACCATGTAGCTCTACATTCCACCTTTTGCACAAGATGAAACTTGTCACCTTTGACAAAATGAAACTATTGCATGAACCCTTTTGTAATTGCCATATTTAACATCCATTTCCTAATTTATGTTTAGCCATTCTCCCCTGACCCATTTCTATTGTTTTAAGCTGAGGAATTCCATTAACTTCAAAATCTTATAAATTTTGAGCTTTACTCTGGAGTTTTATTTGAATGAAAAATATTTTCAGTATTCATTTTTACAATGGACAAGTGAGTTCCAAAAATATCAGAAATATAAGAAAACATATACATTTACGTCAGCTATAAGAAGTTGCTAAAATTTGTAAAGATGAATGCTTTTAAGTATTAAATAAGGGGCCACGGATTTAGCTCAGTGGTTCTGGTGCCTGCCTCACAAGTGCAAGGTCCCAAGTTCGATCCTTGGTACCAAAAAAAAAGTATTAAATAAGTTAAAGTTAATGTTGGGGCATCCAATGAGAAAATTATATATTGTAGAATTTTATATATATGCTTATATAATATTAATGTAATATATAAATAACTGTAATGATTCTGGGTACATAGAAGGATTTCAATAAATGCTGTTTGAATGATATTAAATGTGAAGTTTAGTATCAACCTAAATATGAATGAATAAGAATAAACACATACATAATGCTGCTTGGCATTATTTCCTTACAAAGACTGTTAAACTCCTTTTCTTTTCCAGTGTTAAACATGCCTTTTTATGTTAAGTTAGTCATTGATAAATTAAGTGAATGGTAGCTGCTACTGATTTAAAAAGCTATGGATACTGGCAACATAGGTCTTTCTTTTTGATACTTATTTAACATAAGCAAAGATAATAATAATAATAAATCTATAGTACAGTATGAGTAAATATTTCACTCTTCTTAAAAATTTAGAATATTATTATGGCCAGATTGGATAAAAGGCGCAAAGGAGTTTTTGGACCACCTATGGGAAAGAAATGTGTAATTTTTATAGATGATATGAATATGCCGGCACTGGAGAAATATGGAGCTCAACCTCCTGTTGAATTATTACGACAGTTTTTCGACTGTGGACATTGGTAAATATTTAATTTAAGTCTTAAAAAGTAATGCTGAGGTCATATCTCACATTTTAATTTTTCAAAGCAAAACATGTATTTCCCAAGATATTTAGGGAAATAATCATTGCTTAGGTTTTTCTATAGAGAGTTTTGAAAGGATTTTCTATATATTTGCTTGTTTTGTGAGATGAGGTCTTTCTATGATGACAAGGTTGGTCTCAAACTTGAGTGCTTAAGCAATCCTTTTGCCTGGGACTACAGGGGCACATCATTGCATCTAGTTCTGTGTGTGTGTGTGTGTGTGTGTGTGTGTTTCTGTGGCACTGGGAATCATACCCAGGGCCTTCTACAAGGTAGACAAGCGCTCTACCTCTGAAATATACTCCTAGTGCCTCTGTAGCTTTCTTTTTAAAGATTATTTATTTATTTATTTTGAACACAATAAATTGAAGGTACAGAGATTTTTTTTGTATATCCCCTGTACTCACGTATTTGTAACCTCTTCCACTTTCAAATTGTCCATCAGAATGGAACATTTTTGTCAACTGATAAACTTAAATCGATACATCATGGTCACCCAAAGTCTGGAGCTTACATTGGCATTTGTTTTGGAAACTCCTTTGAGTTTGGAAAATGTATAATGTCATGTATCCATCAATATAAATTCATCCAGAGTATTTTGACTGCCCTGGAACACTCCTATCTTTCTGCCCTTCTAGTCCCTGGCAACCAGTGATCTTACTATCTTCATAGTTTTTACATTCTTTTCTAGAATGTCCCAGTGTTTGTCAGCTTTCTATTGTTCTAACAAATATCTGAACTAATCAACTTATAAAGTTCATGTTCATTGTTTTGGAGATTCCAGCCCATAATCAGTAAGGCCTATTGCTTTTAGAATTGTAGAAAGGCAGGCTATCATGCCTCTTCCTGGTATCCCATCCTGCACTGTAGGGTGCATTTTCATTTTTCCTCCCTTTTCTTGCTTTTTGCTAGCCCAAACTTGCTCTACAGAGCTCATTTTCCACCCGCCCTTCTGGGTTTCTTCTACCTTTAAAAAATGTGAAACTTTGCCACCATTAAAAAAAAAAATTGCGGAGAGGCAGTACATCATGACAGGGAGCACACAGGGAACAAAATCACTAGTCTCGTGGCTGGGAAGTGAAAGAGAGGAAGAGATGGGGGTCCCACAGTCCCCTTAGAGGTCATTCCCAGGTGACCTAAACACCTCCTACTAGGCCCCACCTCTTTAAGTTTCTACCACCCAAGAATAGTGCCAAACTGGGCCCAAACCTTTAACCTATGGGCCTTTGGGGAACAGTCCAGACCAACTGTAGTAGTCAGATAGTTGGAATCATATAGTAAGACAGTCTTTCCATACTGGCTTCTTTCATTTAGTACTATGGATTTAAGTTTCTCCTGTCTTCTTATGGCTTGACAGCTCATTTCTTTTTAGTGCTGAATAATAATCTGTTGTCTAGATGACAGTTTATTAAACCATTCACCTGCTAAAGGACATCTTGGTTGCTTCTGGACTTTAAAGATTATGACTAAAGCTGTTATATGCACTTGTGTGCAGGTATTGTATGGACCTAAGTTTTAAACTCCTTTGAGTAAATACCGAGGAGCACAATTACTAGTTCATATGGTAAGAATATATTTATTTTTGTAAGAAATGGTCAAACTGTCTTCCAAAGTAGCTTGCATTCCCATCAGGAATGAATGAGAGTGAGTGTTGCTTCATAACCCTTTTACCACTTGGTGTTGTCAGTATTCCAAATTTTGGTCATTCTAATAGGTATGTGGCAGCATATTGTTGTTATTTTAATTTGTATTTTCCTGGTTACATATGGTATGGAACATACTTTTATATGTTTATTTTCCATTTATATCTCTTCTTTGGTGAGATGTCTGTTAGGATCTTTGTCTTATTTTCTAAGCAGATTGTTTGCTTTCTTATTGTTCAGTTTTAAGAGTTATGTGTATTTTTGGATGATAGTCCTTCATCATATGTCTTTTACAAAATTCTCCCAGTCTGTGGTTTGTCTTCTCATTCTCTCCACCTTACCTTTCAAAGAGCAGAAGCTTTAATATTAATGAAATCCAGCTTCTCAATTATTTCTTTTACATACCATGACTTTGATGATGTATCTTAAAAAATCAGTATCATACCCAAAGTAATCTAGGTTTTCTTTTATGTTATAATCTAGGAGTTTTGCATTTAATATTTTATATCAGATAGGTTTGTGTTTTAAATTTAATATTTAGATCTGTGATCCACTTTGGGTTAGATGTTGTAAAAGGTGTAAAGACTGTCTGGATTTTTTTTTTTTTTTTGCTTATTTATAGCCTATTGTTCTAACACCATTTCATTTGTTAAAAGACTATCTTTGCTAGGTCTTGGAGCCCCCCCCCCCTTTTTGGTCAAATAGTTTCAATATTAAAGGATTTAATGGCCTGATGAAAATGATTACCTTTTTACTCTGGGTAGTTCCAACTAAATTGTGTCAGTTAGATACACATTTCTGATTAAAATTTGAAGCTTTGTTATTCTATAATGAGTCCCATTCTATATAACAAAGGTGCTATTTAAAAACCCTTATGCACTCTGGATATTAGATTTGAGGTGAGAAAAAGAAAATCAGGACTTGGTCATAACTAGGGTGACTACATACTTTGTTATTCAAACTGAGAATAAAAGGGGGATATTTTTATTACAGCAAGCACAAAGCAGATTATCTTAGATAAAATGGAACATATGGTCACCCTACCTATATCCACCTACAACCAGGTCATACAAGCATTCATGCATGCTTCTCTGCATTTGGAGAAAGAAGAAAAAGTGGACCAATTGGAAAGACAAGTAGGAGGAAAGCAAGGAAGTGCAGGAGGAAGAGATATTCTAGACACATAGAATCTGGGCAGTAGAATTAGTGTCACTAAAGGGAGAAATAGAATTCTGTTTTAAATTTTCAAAATCACTTGAAACATTATCTAAAGTTATTCCTTTCATAGAAGCTACGTGGAGGTCATGTTTTCTAGGGGTTTCTATATTTCATTCCATCTTGTTTTCTTTATAACAGATTGTTTAAATTTTTTTATATGGTTTCAAGGTATGACCTTAAGGACACAAGTAAAATCACACTGATTGATATACAGCTGATAGCTGCCATGGGTCCTCCAGGTGGTGGAAGAAATCCAGTCACTCCCCGCTTTATTCGACATTTCAACATTTGCACTATTAATCCTTTTAGTGATGAAACTATGGTCCGAATCTTCTCATCAATTGTGGCATTTCACCTTAACGTTCATGCATTTTCTCCAGAGTATTTTTCAATTGGGAACCAAATAGTCAGTGGGACAATGGAGGTAAGCAAATAATGCACTGTAAAATGTTTTGGTCTTATTTGTCCCTTTTGAAAATTTTTTTATTAGTACATATTTGCAGTACATAATAATTACAATGATTGTGGGGAGTTGGCACATGTACATAACATGTTAATTCTTTTTTCTTTTATCTCCTACCTCCATCCTTACTTCTTCCAACTCTTGGCCCCTTTCCCATTTACAAAAGGTCTATTTTTATGTTTTTTTTCCCTTCAGTTCTTTTCTTTTTTTCCCATCCATTTTAAAAAACATTTTCCCCCCTTGACCATCTACTTTGGCCTTCCTTATCAGTGAAATTCTTCAGATTTAGGAACAGGAAGATTGCAAGCTTTGAAATTAGACTGTCTAACTGGAGTTGAGTCTTGACTATTTTCTAACTATAGGACCTAGAATAAGTGATTTGACCTTTTACAGACTCAGTTTTTAAATCACTAAATATATGGAATATAATACCCATTCATAAGGTTGTTATAAGGAATTTATCTAGTACAAGTATCTGCCACATCATACATATTTCCCTTATTATTAGGTTCCTACTGTGATATTTATTTTCTTTTCTTTCTTCTCATTCTTAAGCCGCTTATACATACATTACTTTTATAAGTCAAATCACATAAGTTAGAAGGAATAGTGAAAAAAACAAGGAAATACAAGGGTAGGAGCAGAAAATAAGACTGCCCTTGTGACATTAACTTGTTCAGAGTATGTTATTTTGCCCTTGCTCACAGGCTAGAGCCAGCCTCATATCTAACGGTAAAAGGAAAAAATTTATTTAAAGGTTAAGTTGATGATAATCTCATCAAAGTAGGCTTTTTGGAAGCTTGATAAATGGAATTCACTTTGTGATGACTGCAGCAGGAAGCAAAAGGCTCCCTAGAAATCACTGCATCAATTTCCACAGATGTTGTATCTTTTTATAGTTCTCTCTTCCTTTTGGTGAAAAATTTGTAGTGTTTGAGAAACTATAAGCAAAGAGGTAGTATATTTATTCTGATACATAAAAGTATTTCTGTTTATAAAATATATTTCTATTTCAGGCATCTCTTGAAAAGGTGAGGGAGTTGATCAGCTAGAATGGGAAACAGAAAGGACCTCTTCAACCCCATTCTTTTTTTTTTTTTCTCTTGGTACTGGGGATCGAACTCCCATCCTTGTGCTTGCACAGCAGCCGGCAGAAACCACTGAGCCAAATCCTTGGCCCCATCCCCATTCTTTGAAGCATTAGAGACCTATCATGGGTGGAGGTTGGAATGGGGAATGAATTACAGAACACATACACATAAATTTTTGTTTTTCTATTTGTCAGGATATGTTAAAAGATTTAATTTACCCTTCTCAAGGAGAATATTAACTGTCATTTGATGAATTCAGCATATAGTTAAAGTATACTTTATTTCTAAATTAAGATGGAAGAAGAGGGGGACAGAGAACATAAGAGAGAGAAGGAAACAAAAGAATAAATTGATTTTTTCCAAGACAATTTAAATCATTTATTGATTACATATGATAATGAATAATAGACATGCTTCATTCACATCCATCATTTTATCTGGTTACCATTATTTAATTTAGATATTGTATAGGATGTGCCAAAATCATTTTAAAAAAATTTTATTAGTACCTATTTGTAGTATATAATGATTATGTTCATTGTAGGGAACTGGTACAGGTACATAACACATCTCAATTATTTTTTCCCCTTCTCCTCCACTCTGCCCCCCTTCTTTGCCAACTTTAGATTCATTTATTTATCTTATAAAATCTTATGAAATTAATAATCATAATATGGATAACAGCCAGATTAGCAGGTCAAAAAGCATATAAAATACGTCAGACAGTTAAAGCAAATCATGCTATACTTTTAGACATATTATCCATGCTAGATTACAATAACTATTTTCCTGTTATCTGTCTTTTATTTTTAACTTTATTTATATAATGAGTTTTTCATATAAAAGAAACCATGTGCTCCATCAGCTTGTGTATCTGATTTACTTCACTTGACATTATTATCTCAAGGTGCATCCATTTTCCTACAAATGACTGAAGTTTATCCTTTATGGCAGAGTAATACTCCACTGTGAATAAATACCACAGTTTCTTTCTTTATCCATTCATCCACTGATGGGCATACAGGCTGCTTCCAAGATTTAACTATTATGAATTGTGCTTTATAAACATATATTTGCACTATCACTGTAATTTGATATCTTTAACTCTTTTGGGAAGACATCTAGAAGGGGAATGGCTGGGTCAAATGGAATTTCTATTTTTAGTTTTTTGAGGAATCTCCTACTGATTTCCATAGTGGTTGTACCCATTTACACTCCCATCAACAATGAAGAAAGGTTCATTTTTCCCTTGCAGCCTCTCCATTTGTAATTGGTTCATTTCTTGGTGATAGTCATTCTTTCTGAAAAAAATCTCAGTGTTTTTTTGTTTTTGTTATGTTTTCTTTGCTTTTTGAGACAGGATCTTGCTGTGTAGTTCAGGCTGGCCTTGAACTCATTACGTACCCCCAGTTGTCCTCAAATTCTCAGAGATCCTCCTTCCTGCCTCAACCTCCGGAGTGCTGGGATTACAGGAGTGGCCACTCTGCCTGGCTCTCAGTGTTGTTTTAATTTGCATTACTCAAATGGCCAGCAGTGTTAAACATTTTTTAATGTATTTATTGGTTGTTTGTACCCCTTCATCTGAGAAATGTCTGAATTCACTTTAGATGCTCATTCTTTGATTGGATCTTTTAATTTGGGGGGCTAAATTTTTGAGTTCTTTATATATTCTAGGTATTAGTCCTTTGTCAGGGGGTTATCTGGCAAAAATTTTCTCTCATTCTGTAGATGTTCTCTTCCCTCTGTTGATGGCTTCCTTTGCTATACAAAGCTTTTTAATTTGATGTGTCCCATTTGTTGATTCTTGGTATTATTTCTTGTCTAACAAGAGTTCTGTTCAAAAAGTCTTTGCCTACACCCATGTCTTCAAGAATTTTACCTTTTTATCTTCCAGTAGATTGAGTGTTTCTGTTTTAATATTTAGATCTTTGATCCATTTTTTAAAAAAAATTTTAGTTTAGTGCAGGGTGAGAGATATGGGTTTAGGTTCAACCTTCAACATGTGGAATGCCAATTTCCCCAGCACCATTTGTTAAAGAGGCCATCTTTCCTTCAGCAAAAATATTTGGCCCTGGGCTGGGAATTTAGCTCAGTGGTTTCAACACTTGCTGAGCAAGCACAACGACCCAAGTTCGATCCCCAGTACCAAAAAAAAAAAAAAATTGGCCATTTTGTCAAAGATAAGTTTGCTAAGTGTGCCTGGTGTTGTTTCTGCATCCTTTATTCTGTTCCATTGATCCACAGGGTGTTTGTTTATTTTGGAATTTTGGTGGGGTTTTTGGGTTTTTGGGTTTTTGCTAATACCATGCTGTTTTTAATAACAGTACCTTTGTAGTATAGTTTCAAGTCAGAGATTGTGATGCCCCCTGCCTTGCCCTTGTTGCCTAGAATTGATTTTGTTATTCTAGGTCTCTTCTGGTTCTATATGTATTTTAGAGGTATTTTCTCTAGTTCTGTGAGGAATACCATTTGTATATTGATTGGGATTGTATTACATTTATATAACATTTTTGGAAGTGTTACCATTTTGATTATTTTGGTTCTGCCTATCCAGGAACAAGGTATATTTTCCATTTTCTGATATCCCCTTCAGTCACCTTTTTCAGAGTACTACAGTTTTCACTGTAGAAGTCTTTTTTTTTTTTTTTTTGTACTGGGGATCAAACTCGGGACCTTGCACTTGCGAGGCAGGCAGTGGAATCACTGAGCTAAATCCCTGGCCCAAGGTCTTTCACTTCCTTGGTTAGGTTAATTCCTAAGTATTTCATTTTTCTTGATGCTGTCATGAAAGGTATTGTTTCCCTAATTCCTCTCTTGGTGATTTTTTTTTTCTTCCATACTGGGGATCAAACTCAGGACCTTACACTTGTGAGGCAAGTGGCAGCACCACTGAGCATTTTAAATCCCTGGCCCCTCTGTTGGTGATTTTATTATTTGTGTATAGGAACACTATTGAGTTTTAAGTGTTAACTTTGTATCCTGCTGTGCTGCTGAATTTGGTTATTAATTCCAGGAGTGTTTTGGTAGAGTTTTGGGGGCCTTCCATGTAGAGCATGAAGTCATCAGCAAATAATGAAAATTTAACTTCTTTTCCTACATATATCCCTTTTATTTCTTTCTCTTCTCTAATTATTCTGGCTAATGTTTTGAGAACTTTATTTATTCAGAGTGGTGATGACAGACATCTTTGTATTGTTCCTGCTTTTAGAGGGAAAGCTTTCTTCTTCTCTCCATTTAGTGTACAATGTTGGCCATTGGCCTTTCATAGATGGCTTTTATCACTTTGAGATAAAGACCCTGTATACCAATGATGGTGAACCTTTTAGGGACAGAATGCCCAAACTGCAGCCCAAAGCCACAGTGCTAGCTCTTCAATTAAAACTAAATAATGACCAGCCATGCAAAAGTTCAGACAAGTCATGGCTAATGAGTTGAGGCTTCTGACATCTTCCCCTGGCATGCTGTTACCCCTTTCAGAGCATGTGCATTGCCCCTATGTGGGCTGTTATCTGATGCTCAGCTGCTGGGGCCATGCTGGGGTGACTGGGCTCAGGAGCTGACAGAGAGGGATCTGCTGCCTACTGTGGCATGCATGCCATTGGTTCACCACCACTGCTCTATCTGTTTTCTTCAGTATTTTTATTGTGAATGGACGTTGAGTGTTGTCACATGCTTTTTCTGCATCTGTTGAGATGATCATGTGATTTTTGTCCTTGCCTATATTTTTATGCTGTATTATATTTATTGATTTGCATTTGTTGGACCATCCTTGCATCCCTGGAATCAATTCTAGTTGGCCATGATGTATGATCTTTTTGATGATTTGTTGCATTCATTCTTCTGAATTTTCCATTTTATTAGAGTATAGGT